TTTATTACTCTATTGCTTATTATTATTTTATATTCTTTCTTTTTAGTTTTGAGTTTCTTTGTTTATTATTTTTGCTATTATTTTGTAGTTGTTTCATCTCTGTTATTTTTGTTTTTTGTTTGTTAGTTATTCTTTTTAGTCATAGTTAAAATAGTATTTTATACCTTATTTTTATATTTAAAAATTTGTAGCCAATGTTTGACATCTCTAAACCAGTTAAAGGGAGAAACACCGTTGATTATTTTCCTCCCTCTAATATCTTTTAGCAGTGTAATTTTCTTTTCTAAACAAAAGCCTATCTCAAATTAACAACTTGACTTTGCGATTGAGATCATTTTTATATTTCTATAATAATATATCTTATATATAATGTTCAAAGTCTTTATATTACTTTTAAATTCTTTGAAATCTTGTTGTTGCATTTATCATATGAATTTGATTATGTTTTGTGATTTATTCTTCCCTATATTAGAGAGTGATTTTTTCTTCTCTAATATCTAGAAGATATACTCAAAACTGAGAGTTTTTAAGAGTTTTGAAAATGGGTCTAGCTTGCAAAAATGACAAGGGCATAAAATTAGCCCAAAAAAGAAAAGAAAAGTGAAAAGATGCGCAATGACCGCCAAAAATTAAAAGATATACAAAGTGTATCAAAAATCAAAAGATGTGCAAAGTGTGCCAATCAATTTACAAGAGGCATAAAATAAGCCCATAAAATGCAAGCATCCTTCTTTTTCAAACTTTTAAATCTTAGAAGAATTCATGTGTCACTTGATATTTTCAAAGGCTTGATTTCAAATTTTATGATTATGATGAATTACTTTTATATATTTATTCTATAAGATATTTTTTCTCTGGAATAAGTTTTGAACAAATCTTTTTTTCTTATCCAATTAATTTTTCTAAGTTAGATCTTTTATTTTAAAAATATAATTTTGCCCTGAGAGAAGTCCGAGCTAGGGTTAACAGGATCGGATATTCTACCATTTTTGGATTTCGATGATGTTAAGTCATTGGTCTTACAAGTCTTTAAAATCAATTACATAGAGACTTTGTCATATTCATGCTTTGATAAAAAAAAAACTTTGCTTTTGTTCTTCTTTTTCGTATTCTTTCTGCTTTTTATTTTCTGATTCTTTCATACTCCTTTTTATGATATCAAATGGGGGAGTAGTGTTTGAGCTATTTTGGCGTACTATTTTCACTTATATTCCTATTTTATTTAGTTTTAATTATTTGATTATTTTTCATCATCAAAAAGTGGGAGATTATTGCAAATATATTTTCAAAGAATATAATTTTGATGATAGCAATCACTTCTGTTTCTCTACAACTTTCTTGCCTAATAATATTTCAGGTCCTTAAGATCGAACTACAAATTAAACCAGCTTAAGATTGGGTAGATTAGGACTGAGTCAATTTGTAATGTACGACATGTGTCTTTTATCTTTTTTTGAGTCCTTTGTAATAACGTGGGTCCTTATGCTAAGTAATCTTGCATACACACACTTGGAGGAATTTTTCTAACTATTTTAGAGTTTTTTATTTTTGATCACATCATCCGAGACTATCCAAAAATCATCTTGGACTATCAGTTAAAGATAAAAACCCTAATTAGGGCATCATGGTTATGGCAGTCGCAATTAAGTGCATCGTCCTGAACTATATGTGTATTGGCTGAGACGATAGGCTTAAATCAGAAAGAATCTGCTGCTAGATCTATTTAGGTATCTTTTATTTTTAGACATCGTCCTGGATGATGTAGTACAATTATGACTAATTTAATCTAGTAATTAATGAAAATAATTAAGGTTTGATTGCTAAATCATATCATCCTGGACGATCGCATGATCGACCGGGACGATCAGTTCACAAACCTTATTTCTTCCTGGACGATCAAATATTGGCCTGGTTCCTTTCAGGGTGATGCTTTGGAAGATATGTACTAAAATGAACTAATCGTCCAGGACGATTTGGATATCGACATGGACGATCAAGTTATTTTTATATTATCTAGATATCCATTCAGGGCGATTTTTTATACAATACTCATTGAGTTGAACTAATCGTACAGGACGATGTACAATCATCCTGGACGATATTTGACGATTAGTTACTAAATAAGGCTAATTTTGAGCCCTTGTTTAAAATCTCTCTTATTTTCTTAGAGAGAAATCTTTTGTTGTTGTCCTGACCTAAGAGAGCCAAAAGGAGAGGGAGAGCAAGGGAGAGAGAGAGAGAGAGGATCTTGTAACAGGGAGTTTGTGAGGTGTTTCACAAAGGTTGCTCCAAGCTAGGATTTTTCATAATCTTCTCCGGTCGTCATACCTGGTTCCTTGGGGGTTCTAGAGAGGTCTACTTCAGCAACTGATCGAAGTTCTTTGCCTGCTTTAGGTGGAAGCAAAAGGAGTTGGTTTCTCTGTCTGTTTCTAGAGGAAGCACAAGGAGTTGGGTTCTCTGCCTCATTGGGTTGGTGGAAAGGAGTTTTTGTACGGGCTTCTCCGCCTTGCTGTGGGGGCAAAAGGAAAGACATTGTGTTTAGTGCAATACTCGGAGGAGAGGCTCTAGGGAGTGGACGTAGGTCAGGTTGACCGAGCCACTATAAAATATGGTGTGTTCTTTCTTATTGTACTTTCGCATTTAATTTCTGCACTTTGATTTATGTAGTGAATCTTGGTTTGGTTTTGATTGTGCTTTTGCTTAAAGAATTTTTAAAATACAAATTCAACCCCCCCCCCCTCTTGGTTAGCTTTGAGACTAGTTCATTATGGCCTAACATCCCTGTCGAACTTTCATAGTTGAGACTGGTTGCCCTGACTAGTTCCTTTCTCCTATTTATTTCCTTAGGTTCTATGGTTTAGTTGGGGTTCTTTTTTATGTTTCTTTCGTTGGCTTTTTTGGCATTTGGTCTTGCTTCTTGGCTGTGATTATATGAGTGTTGTATTTTCTCTTATGTTTGCATCTTTCGGGTCTCTTCAATATAGTTGTGGTCTGGATGGTTTTGGACTTAAGCTATGATTGCAATGTCCATGTTGCTGTGAGTTTATCCCATTGGTACTCTCCTTCCTTCAGGGTGCATCTTTGGAATGCTCGGGGTTTGTGTACAAGTTTGGATGGGGTTCTGGGCGGTTGTGCCTATGGTATTCATTTACCTGGTTTGTTGGTTTAGATTCTGTTTCCAGTTAGCTGCTGGAATGCCTTTCGCCTAATTTTTTGGGATTCTTTGGAGGATTCCCGCTGTGTTGTTGGGGACTTTAAGCTGTTGTTTTATGGTCTTGGGTTTTTATTTTTCTGCTGTGCCTATGGGCTGGGTGCTTCTGTTAACATGATGCTTATGTGCTGGTTTGTTGGTGTTATCCTCTACTGCTCGTGTTATTTAAAAAGCTGGTTGAGGGTTGATTGCAGTGGTTATTTAAAAATCTGGTTGGTGTATGCACCTGAGTGTTGGATTGAGTAGCTTGTGGATTAACTTGATGAAGCTTCTACTATCTTAATTCTAAGCTTTATCAGTCTATTTGCCTATTTTTGCTTGCAGTGGGGCCTTCATTTAGATCAGTTCTGCTATAGCGACTTATATCAATTCTCTCTCCTTTTTAGTCTAAATTTTTTCTATATGCATTTGTTTAAGTATATATTTTTGTGCTATACCCTTTTGCTCTACAACTTTTCAGTTTTGCAGGTGAAACTGATTTATATCGTCATCAACATTTTTTGCTGAGAGATCGAGCTTTAATTCATATCATTTATCTTTCTTTTTTGGATGCTTCTCTATAGCATCAGTAGAATGTTCCTAGTTTTTTTTTTTAGTTTGGTTTAGTGGAGATTGTCGGCTCCTAGGTTTTTCTTTTCTTTATTTTGTAGCTCGTTGGAGCATTAGTGAGCTGATCATCACCCTTAAGGACTTTGTAATCATTTTTTTCTATTAACACGTAGGCCATTCAGCAGGTTTTAATTAAAAAAAAAAAGATTGAACACATTTTAGATTTACTAAATCCAAATTTACACGATTTATTAAATCCCACTTGTTGTCAAATAGGCCCTTAGGGATTTCACTATTAATTTATAATTATCTTCTTCACATTAAAAATAAAAATTAATGTGTTATAAACTTAATAACATGTTAAGTACAAAGTACTCATTAATTATTAATAACACTATTAATTATATATTTTTGAAGTTATATTAATTAAGTTAATTATATTAATATTTAATTTCTAATTATACAAATAAGTTAAATTAGATAATCAATTTATGCACTAATTATACAATTAGTTATTAATTAATTTACTTAATTATTAATAATTTAAATTATATTAATTAAATTTATCAATAATAACTTAGAGGCGCCTAGGGTTTGCATCTTCTCTTCTTGTCGTTGATGTTCGGCTTCGTTGCATTGCAGGTGTATTAGATTGCACGCATTACTTTTCGGCTCCTTCCTGGCTGTTCGACTTCACTCCTTCGATGTCTTCCTATCAGATCAGAAGTTACGACATTTTTATCGGAAGCAAGAAAGGGAGCTCGCTGGCTGTGAAGGTAACTTTCTCCCATTCGGGCGCTTCTTCGGCTAAATCCCGTTAAATCCTCTAAACAGAATGATTTAGTAAATTCAGGATTTACGGAATCATGGGATTTAATTATATATTTAATACTATATATTTAAAGTTATATTAATTAAGCTAATTATATTAGCATTTAATTATTAGTTATATTACTAATTATTCAATTAAGATAAATTAAATAATTAATTTAGTCACAAATTATAATATTAATTATTATAATATTAAATACTTAATTAATTTACTTAATTATTAATATTTTAAATTATATTAATTAAGTTAATCAATAATAAGTTAGAGGCCTCACGTTTGGCTTTCATCTTTTTCTTTTCGTCTTTGCTGTTCGGCTTCGTTGCTTCGCAGGTGTGGAGATTGCACGATTCGCTTCTTCGGCTCCTTCGTGGCTGTTCGACTTCGATCCTTCGACGACCTTACCTTCCTGTCGGATCGGAAGTTACCACATTTTGATCGGAAGCAACAACGGGAGATCGCTGGCTGTGAAGGTAACTTTCTCCTTTCGCGCGCTTCTTCGCCAAATCCCGTAAATCCGCCGAACCGAGGGATTTAGTAAATCCGAGATTTAAGCCGTAAATCCTTAAACCCGGAAATTACCCATCGCCGGGATTTAACGCGCGCACAAAAACCGTTTGTCTGGATTTAGCTTAAATCCGAATTAAATCCCGCTGTAAATCCGATACCAAACAGCCCCTTAGGGTTAATTTTTTTCCTTCTTTTGAAGTAGAGTTTTGAAAGAGTGCTAAAAGAAGCGTCTTCGCCTTCTACGACGTTGTTCCTGTCGGATCGGACCTCCGTTCGATAAATTTCTCAGTTGGGGATAGTTGGAATTGCATCGGGAGATCGGAGGTAGGAGGCCAAGATGGGAGAGCGGAAGGTTCTTAACAAGTACTATCCGCCGGATTTCGATCCGGCGAAGATTCCCAGGAGGAGGCAGCTCAAGAACCAGCAGATGAAAGTCCGCATGATGCTTCCCATGAGCATCCGTTGCGCCACTTGTGGCACCTACATCTACAAGGGAACCAAGTTCAACTCCCGGAAGGAAGATGTTATTGGGGAGGTATCCCTGTTCGATTCTCTCTGCATTATACAAATATATCTTGAGCAGCCTTATGATTGCCTTCTAATTTTACTTTTATGATGATTGCTTCTATTGCATTCCAAATTGTAACACTATAATCTTACTAACAAGAATAACCAAAAAACAAGAGAAAAACCAAAGAGAAAAGAGAATCTAGAGTGAGAAGAGCTTTGATATTTCATTACATTATGGAATGTACAAGATCTGAGTATAAGTGGTATGTTATTTTTGGCCCCCTTTTGACTCTTTACTTATAAGCTCTGATTGACATACAAATATACAAAAAGACAACATTTAAACTATACTAGTAAAAAGTACATATCAAGGCTTAGTAATTGCTTACTATTAAATATATAAGACTTATAGCCATCAATGCATAAAGAATACATATTGAATCCGTGGTAAAGTTTAAATCCATAGGAAGTTGTTTGCTAACTTTAATTATTAGAGTGTTGGCGAGTGTCTATTGCACTTGAGCGAATTATACTGGTGAGTTGGAATTAGTTCCTTTCAAAAAAATGCTCGAATGATCAAGCAATTTGGCCTAGACGATCCTTAGGCTGAGTGTAATGGAAAATGATATATTCCTGACTTTAAATCAAGGTGAATTTTCTAAAATCTTAGCAACTTCAATAGAGTGATTATTTTGATTTTGTTGACTAACCTTGGTCATGATTCATTCAATGCGTACGACTTGACTTGACTTTGATTTGGACAATATTTGGATGTACATTTGGTTCATCAATTCTTTTATATTTTTGGGAAACATTCATTAAAAACAGCAATAAAATTAAATATATTATCTTGATGAGTTATCATAACATTAATGATATTGATTTGATTGGTCGTGCATATCGACAACAAAGCAAGTCTATAAAGAAGGGTATGAGGCCATTATTTGAAGATTGAAAAGCTGAATCATCATTTTACTTTATAGTGTTATGCAACTCTTTATTTATCAAATCTAGATGGATTAAATTCTTGAGCTCAAAGTCGACGATCCTCTTAATAAAGCGTTGATTGACAATATTCTCAAGAAATGTTGAAAATACAAGAGTAAGCGACAAATAGAGGAAGAAAAGAATTTTCTTTTGTATAAGCCGTCACTTAAAGAAAGGTGAAAATAAAGCTAGGTGAGGTGAGTAGGATGACATATGTTCCTAATAATTTTACTAAACAAGTGGCTCCTCAAGTCGATCCTATGAATGTTCCAGTAAATGAACTAGCAAATGAATCAATAATTCCTTAGAAAAAGTTAATAATTGAGCTAGTGACAGGTAAGATTGAACCAATGAATAAGGTAGTTATTCATAATAAGGAATCAACTATGAGTTTTTAGAATTAGCTAATGGATTCCTGTATCCTTCATTTGGGTCAAATTTTCATTAGTAGATGGTAAAAAAAAAAAAAAAAAAAAAAAAACTATAGTCGAAATAGGAGTTGAGCCAAAAAGTATTTTTTTGGATCCTTTTGGTCATGTTGCAATACATTTTATTGTGATTGACCTTTTAGATAAAGCTCAAGATAAAATTAAAGCTGAGAAGGTTCATACCCAATAGTTGTAACGAGTACGGTCTCATCGAATCTACATGGGTGAATACATTACAGTGCCTTGCAGATGCTCCTCTTCATAGTTTTGTCCCAAAAGAATTGCCTTTTCTTGATTTTTTTGTTGATAACCTAAAATCTAACAATCTCTCTGCTTTTGATGTTTTTTTGGCAAGATCTCTTGAGAATATTTTTAACACTACGAGGGAGAAGAATTTAGATACTTCCAAAAAGTTGGCATTGGGAACTTGGTTCTCTTGACTATTGATAAATATACAAGCAAAGTTATTTTGGGTTTTGATACTGTTGTAGTGACCAATGTTTTAAAAGACGAAATCGAGAATCGAGGCGTTTTGGCTAAGCTAGGCGAGGCGTAAGCCTCGAGGCGGATCGAGGCGTAAGCATAAAAAATGATAAAAAAGTAATTTAAAATTATGAATAATGACAAAATATTATGCCAATTATGAATTTGATGATTTGTTCTAAGATAATATTAGTATATTATTGGAAAAGAAGACTTAAAATAAGCTTACTTAAAAATAAAACATCCCATTAGGATCAAGACCCAATGCAGACTCATTATCACTTTGATTGTTTTTAGAAAAATCTTTATAATTAATGTCAAAGTCATCCTCAAACTCTTCTTCATCTATAATATTTTTTCCTTTATCACCTATATTAGTTAATATTTCATTAGCTCTAGAATGAAATAATAATAACATAAAATATAATTCATTATATTTAAGAATACTTTTGAATTTTTTTGAAGCTCTAATTTCACTTTGTTTTTTTCTTTTATATACATAGTAGTTGCTTCATTATCTTCACTGACATGAGTTTCTTCTTCTGCCTCAACTTTAGAAACATCAACATTCTTAGGAGTAACCAATTCATCATCAAATTGTAAATCATCAACAAGTAAATGATCAATTTCATTATTAATGCTTCCATGCTTATGTCATTTGAGATGTCTATCTTTCAGTTTTTTGTTAAACATAACATAAACTAATTTGTTCATTCGATCTGTCGCCAATCGATTTCTTCTCTTAGTATGAATTTTATTGAAGATGCTCCAATTATGCTCGCATGTAGAAGTCGAACATGTTAGGCTAAGAACTTTAAGTGCAAAAGTTTTCAATTCAGGAACATCATCTCCAAACTGACTCCACTAACGTTCTACATGAAAATAAATAGTATTTTATGAATATTAATTGAAGTAGAAGACTTAAACATAAATATTAAAATTAAAATTATAAATATACAAATTATAAACATACCAGGAGATCGTATTTTGTAGCATGCTTGTGCTGCTCTAAATCCAAATATTCCTTTTTCAAATGAAATTCCTCAAGTTGATCATTCACTTTGAGGTAGTCTTCTTCAGAAATGAGTATATGTCCATACATGCATACAAAATAGTTTTCACCTCTTTATCAACATGAAAGTCTTTATCATAATGAAATTGAGAGTTTAAATAGTATGCAACAGTATATAAGTGTTGGTGTAATTGACGATCACACTTTTTATCTATAATATCCCATATTTCTTTATAGGCACTTTCTTGACCTCCCAAATTTTTTGCAATGTCTTCTTTAGCTCTATTTATTGCTTCATAAATAAATCCCATAGCCGGGGCCCTCTCACCATTAACCATTCTAAGCACCTTAACTAATGGTGTTGTTGTTTTCAAAGCATAATTTGTACTACGCCAAAATGAATCATCTTTCATAATAATTTTTTTACCTATTTTCCTTTTTGTTTTTTTTGCCCATGAACTTTTATCCTATTCTTCAGAAGCAAACATAGCTTCCAAATATTGTCTTAACTCCTTGAATCTCTGCAATGTTAAATATGCAGTAGCAAATCTCGTAATAGGAGATCTAATAATTTCCTTGTCAGTGAATTTTCTCATCAAATTGAGTACCCAATAATGATTGTATATGAACTTACTAACAAATTTGGCCTTCAATAGGGCTGATTTATGCTGAGGCAACTGTCCCAACCTCTCAAGCATTAAATCAATGCAATGTGCAGCACAAGGAGTCCAGTAAAAGTGAGGCCTCTTCTCCATTAACATTCTCCCGACAGCTTTATATGCACTTGCATTATCAGTAATAACTTGTACTACTAAAGCATCACCCACTTCCTCAACAACTCCATCCAACATTTCAAATAATAATTGTGCATCCTTTACAAAACTTGAAGCATCCACTGATTTTAGAAAAACTGTTTCATATGGATTGCTGACCAAGAAATTAATAATACTTCTATGTCGAATATCTGACCAACCATCTGACATTATTGTGACTCCTGTCTCAATCCAAGTATTCTTAACATCATCCACCATTTTTGAAGTTGTCTTGACCTCCTCATTCAGCATCCAAGTCATCAGTTCATACATGCTTGGAAGTTGTAGTCCTCTTCCATAGCTTCCAATAGATCGTAACATATTAATCCACGACGGACTCCTAACAACATTAAAAGGAATCCCATTTTCATAGATGAATCTGGCGATATCCAAACAAACTCTGTTCCTGAGTTCTTTTGTAGTAGTAGGAGGCTGATGATCCTGAGTGTTTATATTATCATCGCCATCAATATTTATCATAAATCTATCCATGGGACCCCGAGTGCCTCGGTTAGAAGAAACTAGATGGCTTCCACTACTGGAACCTTCATGCTGTGATCCATAGTAAGAAGAATTTTTTATCATCTCTTCCATATTTCTTTGTGTGACCTCCGTTGTGGTGGAAAACTTCTTTAAATAATCTGTACATTCATTTTTCACCTCATTAGGTACTTTTGCACATGGTCCTATATTGACATGAGTGCAGGCTAGATGATCCTTCAGCCTCTTGACGCCACCAGTTATGCGTTTCTCATAGAAATTACATTTCATGTAAACATATCCCTTCTTTGCACCTTCGCCTGACACTTCAACTTGAGTTCCATATTTCTATGCAGGATCTTTCCTTCTTGTGCCACTAGTCATGCTAATAATTTATAGAAATAAATATTAAATAATCACAAAAAAAAATCAACAATAGAACAACATGAATACAATAATATACTGATCTGCCGGGGGTCCAAGGGGGCGCTGCCTCCTGGCGGGGTTCGACCTGCTAGAGTAAGAGTACAAAATTTTATTGTAAGAGTAATTTTGTTTGTTTTTAAGAGCGGTACTGGCTCGGTACTAAGCATGTACCGCTCAGTACCGAGCATATACTTGCTCGGTACCAAGTGGTACTGGCTTGGTACCAAGCATGTACCTAGTGGTACCGAGCATGTACCGCTCAGTAATGAGTATATACTTGCTCAGTACCGAGCAGTACTGGCTCAGTACCGAGCATGTACCTAGCGGTACTGAGCATGTACTGAGCGGTACCGAGCATGTACCTAGTAGTATGGAGCATGTACTGAGCGGACGAATG